CGGCCCCTGCCCTCCAGTCTGGGCGACTGAGTGAGACTCCAACTCAAAAAAAATAAAAAATAAATAGATAGATAAATAAGTAATAAATAGAATAAGAAATGCCAGACTCCCACTTTGGGCCAAGTAGGAAACCGCCTCCCCTGCCCAGCCTGCAGCCCTCCACACCAGGCTCCTCCAATCGCCCCGTCTCCTTTAACTCACTTGCATGTCAGCATGTGTAGGAAAATATGCGACATACGCCTGATCTTGTCACACACTCCTGGTCTCTTTCACGAGAGTTCTGTGCTGCTGTCCACACGTTTGTCCTGAGATGGCATCCGACCCCACCCCCACCCAGGGGCCATGGCCACCACTCAGAGGCTGCCCCGCCCCTGCTGGCCCCTAGAGGGAAGCTGTCCTCAAGCCACCGTTGCCTAATTCACAGCTCCCCCCTGCTTTTGTGCAGGTGGCCTATGGCCTTTGCCGCCGTGGCAAGCATTCTGGTGCAGGCATTCCTGCCCACACACCATCAAGTCTCTCCAGGCAGGGTCCAGGGAAGGAGGCGCGTCTCGAACCCGCGGGCTCAGGCAATCCACTCACCTCAGCCTCCCAAGGCGTGGGATTACAGGCTGAGCCACCGAACCCGGCTAACTTCTCTTTCTTAATGTTGAGTAAGATGAAGCAGCTTCTCCCATATTTTGGGGGGATTTTCTTGAGTTGGAGTCTCACTCTGTTGCTTAGGCTGGAGTGCAGTGGCACGCTCACAGCCACCCCAGTGTCTACCTGCTGGGCTCAGATGATCTTTCCACCTCAGCCTTCCAAGTAGCCAGAACTATGGGCGTGTGCTACCATGCCCAGCCAATTTTTAATATACTGTAGAGAGGAGGTCTCACCAAGTTGCCCGGACTGATCTCGAACCCACGGGCTCAGGCAATCCACTCACCTCAGCCTCCCAAAGTGCTAGGATTACAAGCTGAGCCACCAAGCCCAGCCTATTCTCTCATATTTAAAGATGCATTTGCTTTTGTAACCTATGTCTGTTGGCTGTTTCTGTTGTTGTTGAATTGTAACCACTCTCTACATATTAAGAGAGTCGGTTTTCCTTTTTTTGAGTAGGAATCTCACTCTGTTGCCCATGCTGGAGTGCAGTGGCATGCTCACAGCCACTACAGCCTTGACCTGCTGGGCTCAGGCAATCCTC